GATCCACATGTAGGAGACAATCTATTAAAGTCATTGAAACAAATCCAAGTGTGAGTGACTAAGAAGAAATGTAAAGACAGAGAAGCACCATTTTTGTTCTCACTTTGAAGTAACACTTACTCTGACAAAAGTATGATTTTTCTAGTATATACTGAAGCATCTTCAGCTAAACGAATTGGATCTGAAAAATATTTAAACAACAAAGAATGTTAAGTCAGATAACACATTCGAAATCCTTTTTGGATTACCTAAATGAGCTGATGTTCAGTGCAGAAATATTGCCAATATTTTGCCGACAAAAGTACCAGCATAGCGTCTACATTATCCATGAACATTATGGTAAGAAAATTGTTTTTTTTTTTTATTCATAATTTTTTTTCTTTTATTATTTTCCTTTTAATATTTTTCTTTTCATTTTTCTAGAATAGCCTTTATCATTTTATTGCAAATTTTACTACATCTTATTATTGTTGCTTTTTATCACAACAGTCTAGATCAATGCAGTCTTCATTATTACTATTATTTTATTACTAGTTTTTCTCCATCTTATTGTTAATTTTTTTTTATCACAACTCTTTGGATCAATACACTCTTCATTATTGCTGTTATTTTATTACTAGGTTTAATATATGTCTTATTGTGTTTTTTATCACAATACTTTATTATTGCTATATTTTTTTTATTCATTTAAAGACAATTTAGATGCTTTTCTTTATAACCTAATAGGTGCCACCATCTTGGATTTCTGTTGCAAATATTCTCAATTTTGGTAAATCTTTCCAAAATTAGGATACAAGAATTCATTGTTCTATATCCAAATGTGTATTGTATTGGTTCTTGCTATATCAAGATTTGTCTGGATTATTTATGCCATAAAACTTTGAAGTTTGTTTATTTGATATCTATTTAAATGTCTAATGTGTGCTAGAAAGGTTAACAGTGTGGAAAATGGATTCAGTGAACCAAGTTCAAATTCCAGCTGAGACAGTTTGTTCATTTTATTTTTATGTGATATTCCCATGAGATCATATGTAGCTCCAACTGATGTTTGGGTGACTATGGTCATTGTTCTGTAGTCTGCTGTACCAGTTTTGTCAATGCATTAGTCTTCACAGCTGTTTTCAGTACAATACACTAAAGTCACACTCTCTCTGTTTCTTACTGAAAGTTAAGTCAATCGTCTTTTCACGAGTTTTTTTTTTTTTTTGTAGAAATAAATAGCACAATGCATGTAGTCTGTATTTTTATTGCTTCCCAGTAGGGAAATTTTGCCAACTAATTGTCAGTGGAAGAGAGAAGCTTCCCAGCTCTAACCTTTTGCAGACCATGTGCTTTTACAAAGTGAAAAATTCTCCCTAAAGAATTCCATTGGAAGAAATTCCTTTTTTACAAAGAAATCTTGCATTTTCACTAATTGCTGATTCATCTTTGTAGTTATTTCAGAGAGGAAAGACTAATCATGAAAATTTGACTGACTACTTGCTAAATACTAAAGAAAAACTTTCTAGTATTCAAATATTCCACTGTAATAACAGAGAGTTAAATTATAAGTTGTACCTCTTTAATCCAGAAGTCTGGTCCAGAATATTTTGAATCTGATGCCACCAATTTTAGATATGCCATGAAAATCCTTAAGTGATAACATTTTAGATTCTTGGTTGGAACAACTTAATATAGTGCTTTTTTTGTGACTGTGTTCAAACTTTATCCTTATCTTAAAAAACTTCAACTATTGTTTTAAATTAAAGAATATCAGTTCCTCTAGTGATAATCCATTTTTTTTTATTTAAATTAGATAATCCTTAAAAAAAACATTTGATTTCTGTATGATAACCAATCCACTAAAAGACAGAATATCATTGCTACTGATTTATTAACCTTGGATTTCATTTGAAAGTTATTTTAGACACTGACTATGTTTTAAGGGAGATAACTCTTTTTTTTCTTGTTAACATTATTCACAGGTCTTGAATAAAAAGTAGAGGTTGTAATAAATGTGGATGGGTTGGAAATTTTTTCCAAATTCTAATAAGCAAGAGGTAATTAGAATAATCGGGTAGATTGGAAAAACCAAGTAGTGGGTAAGATTTGTCTAGAATTTAGTTGATTTGAATGAAGTAATGGTACAGCAAATTATTCAAAGAGAATTAAAACAGTTTTCTTCTATATCAAAATTTTTACAGCAACATTTTTTACTAAATAATTTAACTAGCTTTTTTTCCTTCTCTAAAGATGAAACATTAATGACAGCCCCCCCTACCCCCAGAAAAACATGTTCAAGTCATCATTCTAAAATCTGATCTCCAAACTATAGCCTGTTGGTCACATCTGGATTTTATTCTGTCTACTACAACTTAAAATTTTGAATTGGATAGTTTTCTTTTCTCATTTGTAGTTATTTTCTTGTGTGTGCGACCCTTTAGGATGTGGACAATCATGGCTCTTCACAACTTCCTATCTTTTGTCACTCTAAGCAATGTTTTTTTCCCCCCTTATTATACCTCTCACTCTGTTTATTTACACAAGATTGTTAGGTATGTTATTTTGTTCATTTTTTTCTTTTTTTAATCAAGTTCACTCCATCTAAGGCAGTAAAGCCACTAAGACACAAGGGGTTACTGGGTGTGGAAGAAGTTAGAAACAGAAACATTGCTAAGGAGTGAGAAGAAAAGAAGTCATTGGGAGGACAGCAGATAATGATTGACATTGCATTTAAATTTTTGAAGAGTAAAGTTGGCTGGAAAACACAGACCTGACAGTGTTCCACAAGCAAGAAGTGTGAGAAATAAACTGTTTCCATAGAATTTACGGTTACATCTATCCAACTCAACTCTAAATTGGTGAAACCTTGTCACCAATCTAGTACTGCACTTAAATTCAAAGAGCCTAGGTACCATAGTGAAGAGCTCATCTGAACAATTACCATGAAAGTAGTCTAACAAAATTTTCCTATCTCTTAATAGTTTGGCTAACACCTTGTGCAGGAAAAATCTACCTACCTTCAAAAATGCTAAAGGTATGTGCCTGGCAGTGCTATTGGCTTCATGATGCAAAGAAAATCTGGGACAAACTCATTCTGTCGTTTATTACAGAAAATGGTTAATGGAATAACTTGGATGTGCAGGCTACAGAGTTGGTGGAACAGCTTAGATGTTCTGCCTATGGATTAGTGTACCATATAAAGTCAGTTGCAGTAGCTGGGTAAAAAATACTAATTGCAGAAAGAATACAATTTGTAGTGTGCGAATTTGTGACCGTTTTATTTTTGCTACACTTCTAGAAGTCAGTTATTTCCACATTGAACTGTTAGATAAAAGGAGACATCAGTCTTATCATTTAGGTTTGGTTTTTATTCCATCCCAGAAGATGCCACATTAACCACCCAGTAAAAAAAAAACAAATAAACTCATTTCTTCACTCTAGAACCTGATCTCTAAACTATAATCTGTTGGTCATATAAGATTTTTTCCCAATTATTGCAACTTGAAAGATAGTAAAGGATGTTTCACATTTTTAAACTTATGTTTCCTGTCCTGTTTTAATCAGCTTTCTTCATATTTCTCACTTTTCTTTTTTGTTCTGAATCATAATGGATCCAAATCAAACTTGTTTATTTAAATTTTATAAAACTAATTTTTATTTCCTTAAAACTTAGACATTGCTCACATGTTGCACCTATAGTATTTTTAGCATCCTTCTGTGGAACTATATCTTTTTTTTACCTCAACTCTCTACTGATTCAATGCCATATAAGAGAATAGCAGTTCAGCATTATTTTATTTCTAATGAAATTTTTCTATTTCTTAATACTTTCTTTAACCTCTAGAAGCCAGTTAGTACTACATTGAACAGTTAGAGTTAGGTACAAGGAGAGATCTACTCCAAGGCTCTTTTCATTTAGTTTTTATTCCATCCATAAAGATATCACATTAACAACAACTCAATAGCCTAACATGATCAAGTTATTACTTAACTCTAGAACCTGCTGGTCACATCTAGGGTGATATAAGATTTTTTCCCGCTTATTGAAACTTGAAAGATTGTAAAAGATGTTTCACATTTTTACTTATGTGTCCTGCTCTCTGTTTTAATCAAGTTTCTTTGTATTTTTCACATTCATTTTTCATTTTGAATCATAAAGAATTGAAATAAAATTTGTTGATCTACATTTTATTCATTCATAAAACTGAGTTGTGTTTCTGTGTCCCTTGTGTAAATTATTCTATATGTACTGAAATTTTTCATTCAATGCCTAGATTCTTTCAACAAGAAATAAATTGTGGACTTTTAACATTGCTAATAAGAATGCTTACATTTTTGTTCAAACAATTTAACTGTTTTTTTATTATTCCATCCCTAAAAATGACACATTGACAACAACCCAATAAAAACATAATCAAGTCTTTTATTCACTCTAAATTCCTGATCTCTAAACTATATAACCTGTTGATTACATCTGGGCCAACTTAACATTTTTTTCTTGCCTACTGCCACTTAAAAGATTGACAGGAATAGCCTTTTTTTTTTTTTCATCTGCAGAGAAATAACTGATTATTTCATTAAGACATTTGCTAATGTTTAACATTTTTGATTATTATATTTCTTTCCTGGGTGTAAATAAGTTTCTTCATATTTGCCATGTTCCTTTTTTGTTTTGAATCATAAAGAATCAAAATAAAACATTTTATTTAAATTTTATTCAATTATTATTAACTTAATATTAAGATAATATTATCATTATTTTTATTAAATTATTATTATTCATTTGTAAAAACTGATTTTTTTTTTTATTTCTTTGTCCTTATAAAATATGTTAAATATATGATGTGGCTCTATACTCTAATGTTTGGAGGTTGCTGTTTTAGAATAAAGATCTGTTTGTTTAAGCTATTTTTCCCCACAAAGCCATCTAGTATCAGAATATTGAACTGAGCACACATTTTTCTTTGATATAGTGCATCTAATTCACAGAGCTCAGCTGTGACAGGCCAATTTGCCGAATGTCAAGTATACGTATATGTTTTGTTAAGCCTTCAAGGGAAAAATAGCCAATACACCTTTTGAATTTAAGGCTGCCACTCTGTCAATTGTTACAAACCTGTTTTTTGTTTGTTTATATCAAAGGTTAACACAATGTAACTTTATTCTTGAAGTGACTGGGTGGGGATAGTCATGAAGGAAAAATTGTAATGGTAATATTAGCAGTTTCCTTATAAGGAAACATATGGAATTCATTGACCGAGTAACCAGTACTAGTTTACTAGTTGATATTTATAAAATGTTTTTCTTGAAACAATTTTTTGATGTTATTTAACAACATGACTTGAGTTTTCATGTTTTGGATTTGTAGTAATTTGTAACATTAGGTGAAAGTACCCCAGGAACAGTCTATTCTATGTTCAATTTCCTTTTAATTTATCCATACACTGTAAGATATGTTTTAAGTTAGAAAAATTGGAAGAAAAGTTATAATTTCAGATTGTGGGTAGATAAGAAAATATGGATAATATAAGGAATATAAAACTAAAAATTAAAATATTTCAATAAAATAAAAGTATTAATTAATTTTAATAATGAAATATTTTAATAATGTAATATTTTAATGAACTAAATGTTGATGATAAGTGTTATCTAATTAAGAAAATATGTAATTAAGTGTAATGGATACCAGTGCAGAGAATGGAATCTGTTGCATTCACTTTCACACAAAATCCCATCAGAAAAGCATGAATTCATCTCTTACTCTTTCTAGCCTTGGTTGGTAACCAGTTTAAAAGAAGAAAGACTCTGAATTCCAAACCATGGAGAAAGCAATAGGGAACCATTTCACTATCTTATACCAAGAATGCATGGCAAATCAGTTAATATAGAAAAGAAATCTGTGGAGAGCCATGATCATCTACATCCAGAAGGGACATGGCATTAAAAGAAAAATGAATAACATTCTGAAAAAAAAATAGTTTATTTATAATTATATAATATGTATGTATAGTAGGAATGGGCAAACCTTTTTCTTAGTGAGTTGCATCGTTATCACCCTTGTATCACAATAATAACACAAGTTTCTAACGATAACATAAATAACATTCACCCATGTACGTCATTTTAAATTTATTTTCTTATTACAGATATTTTGTGAATGGACTGTACAAATGTATGAGAAAATAGTTTAATATTTAATAAATTTATTAATGAGATTAAATTAAAATTAGTTTCATATTTAATATATTTATTAATGAGACTGAATTAAAATTAAGAGGGGAAAGTCAAAAATTATCTGCATCTTGTATAAAGATTTGTTAGGGTGAAAGTGTAGATAATTTTTGATTTACCCTCATAGTTTTATATTTAATACATTTATTGATAAGATTAAATTAAAATTAGTTTCATATTTAATGTATTTATTAATAAGATTAAAATTAATTTCATATTTAATATACCATAATCCTGTGTATATAAGACACAGGTTTTTTTCATTTAAAATTGAGTCCAAAAGTCTGGTGTATCTCATATTTTAGTTTAGAACATAATCCCATTTTTTCCATGACTCAAAACAAAGTTTGGTTAAATTGTATTTATTTGTTTACCAGTCAGATAATATCTATCTAATGACATATTGCAACAAAGGGAGATAAATCTTTCATAATGTTTCTTTAAGCCCTGGTAACTGTTGGATGCCACTATCATTGTCAAAGCCTTCAAGAAATTCTGCATCTTGGACAAGCTCAACAGTACTGAAGATGACATCCTATATGAGGAATTCATACAGAAATAGGAGCCAACAGAGGAACCACAAGAAAACGATGATGATGATGATCTTGCCGACAATACCTACTACACAGACCTGTATCTCAAGCTGAGAAATAATTTGATCATTTGTATGAGTCCAACAATAAAGGAGAGTTTGAAGAGTTCAACCAGGACAACCTTTCACTCTCAGATCTTGGATGCACAAAAAAAATGACCTGGATTTCACACAGTCAGTCCTTTTTAGAAATACACAAATAATTCTGAAAGAAATACCTTAGATTGTCACATAAAAAATTAAAACCAAACAAACAAATTTCTCTTTATTTTCTCAATGTGTATTAGCAATTTAGTGATCTTTTACTCCAAGAGTTAATATCACATTTTTGTAATGCTTATGAATCACAAAAGTAAACAAAATGTCTCAGCTTTTTTTTTTTTTTTTTTTTTTTCTCTTCCCTTTTCACAAGGTCATTTTTTGGGTGCATTTTTTACATGAAAATAAGCTCTTTTCCCCCTGGAATTTCTCTGGGTTTTTTTTTTTTACTGTGTCTTATACTCTCTAGTGACCATTACACAAAGCATTACCATATTTATTACTACTAATAAGATTTGTACAGCTGAAAAAATTCTTTTGCAGTACTATGAAATTCTCAATAAATCTTGTGAAACATTTATTGAAAAATCTTAGAAATGGTGCCATATGTTTATCTACATTTGGAGTGCACACAGATACCAAGATCCCTATGTCAGTTTACACTGCCTGTTTGATGGTTCCAATCACAACAGACGCCTCTTTGTGTCTGCTTGTAATAATTGTAAGCATGTTCTCAAAGAGGCTAAGTCTTTGTCTACTGACAGAATGAAGCACCGTATAGCCTGTAACAAGTTTGGTTCTCATGTCTACTAGTGGTTCTGTAATAGTATGTTAAATAAGAGTAAGTCTTCTATCCCTCCTGTTGAGTAAAATATTTTAAAACATGGTGCATCAAAATGATTGGCCCCATTGTTAACTTTCCCAGTCATAATTTGAATAGAGAATAAATTAAAATTGTTAAAACAATCACACATTGCCTGGTAATGTGCTAATCTTATTAGTTAGGTTGCTAATATTCATGAAAGATGGTGACTATTTTGTTGCAAGAAAAACTACAGAAATGAGTCTTAATATTCTGAGTTGCTAAGTAAAATATTTTAATATATTTTAAAATACTAGGGTTCATCAAAAGGTTTTTTTTAATCAACTGTTTTTGTAGTGCTGTAGATTGAGTATCTTTAAATTTGGGTTGGGCAAACATTCTTTTTTTATGGAGAGCTGCATCTTTGTCTACTCTGTATAAACCAGGCTGCATCACAATAACAACACACACTTCACAACAACATTATAAATAACAACCATAGACGGGCATGTTATTCACACATTTATTTTCTTACTGGACACATTTTGTGAACAGATAGCACAAATTGATGAGAAATTAGTTAGATATTTAATACTTTTACTATAATTTGTGCAAATGAGTAAAACCTTTTACAATCATAAGAAATTTGTGATAAATCTTGAGAGACATTTATAGTGTTCAAATGATGTCATATGTTTCTCTCCAGTTGGTGTACACACAGGCACCTAGATCCCTACTTCAATTTAAACTATGTCCATGATTGGGCATTAGCATTGACATTGTGTGAAATATAGAAATTCAGATGTTTGTGGCAGCGCAATATGTCAGTTATGTAGGTAGTAGCTTTCTCGAGAACTGGGGTTTGCAATTAAATATATACAATTTCATTCTTTCTTCCTGTTTTAAATAGATTATTATTTTTGTGTTGAACATGGAACCAAAAATACCTACATCTTTTTGATGGATTTAAAAAAAATGTTTGTTATGCTCTTGCAGGCCACATTAAAATCATCAGGTGGGATGCAGGCAGCCCATGGGCAGTAGTTTACCCAGCCTTGATCTATAGATTAATGTATACGTCATGTATATTGCATGGTAGTTTGACCAAGAACCAGGCACTATTGTTGAGGTAGCTGCCTTGGCTTGTGCCTTGGAGAGGTTAATCCAGTCTGTTATGAAATAGAATTTCCTTTGTATTTTTCATTCCAGCAATAGTCATTTATTTCACATACTGAGAGCTGCCCTACCCTTGGGAATTTATATAGTCAATACTTAGCTATGCTAATTAGGCAGTTATTTATCACTACAAAGTCTCACCACCCAGTGAAAACATAACAAAGTGTTGCTCTCAGCAGGATTGATCTTAACCAACCAAGATGCTATTAACAAATCATGAGATAGAGAGATGCCTACTACTGCAAGGAGATATGTATTGTTTAATATATATATAATGACATATATACTTGAGTTTTGTTTGGTGCATTCTCCAGACTTCATCAGTTCTCAATTTGAGGTATTATAACAACTTAGTGTTTTATTCTGCAATAATTTTTGTGGGTGTTGAGACACTTTTTATCTTTTATTTTTTTTTAGGAAACAGTGGCCATAAGAAAAGTATATCTGAAGAATACCTGAAAATTGATTGCCATAATGCTAAAATGAATATAATAAAGATGAACAACAATGACAATAATAATAATAACTTTTTAGAATAAAAAGAAAATTATTTAAATATTTTATATTTCCTGATTTTTTTTTTTTATTAATGTTGTAATCTAATAATATTTTTTTCTTTTCCAGAACCTTTACAGGTGACTGTTGATGATGAGAAAGAGAAAGAAAAACCCCCACTTGAACGGAAGAAGAGTAAGCCACAACCAGTGGGAACCATTCCATATGAAGTAAGAGTTGACAGCCTTTGGCTTCATTTATCAATTTTAATCGATTATTTAATTTTCAGTCTCTCTGCAGTTTATATTGTTGGACATGATTCTTGATTTCAACTCAAGTTATTTACTTGGATTGTCACACTCATCCTGAAGTTTTTAAATTAACCAAGTTAAAGCATAAGAAAGAATTTTTTATACAATATGGCAATAAACACTGATCTTTTGAACAGGAGTAGAGGTTTGTCCCTTGTTTCCATTTTAGGATTGGGTTTCTGGCTCCTTCTAAAGTCTTTACTTTCTCTTCCAGTGACCCCTTGTATTTTGGTGGCATTATCACCATTCTTGAGTTGGTGCATCTTATTCTGTAACTCTACCTCTTGTGGCTGTTGGGTCTTGTACAGGGTGAACATCTTTGTTAAAAAAATTAAAACAATATTTTGGTTTGACATATCTGATTGAAATCCTCATTTGTATCATATCAAATGTTGAAACAAGATGCATTTAAAAATTTAACAAGTTTTACATTAATTGTTACATAAGGATATGTCATAATTATATATATTTATGCACACACACATGTTTATATTTTGTATGTAATGATGGTGCTTAAGTCTTGGTCATCATGTCTTGTTGATTTCAGGACTAAGAGAGAAGATAACAAGAAGTTAGGTTCAATACATTGATGGAAAAGCCTGAGATAACTCATGGGTGACAGTTTTTATTATGACATTGACTACAAGTTATTTCATGTGTGGAGTAATTGGCTAATGTTAAGTTGGCAAAATGTTCAACAATTGATAAAGTTCCCGATAAATTATAAAAGGAAGAAAAAATAAGGCAAAATAATACTAAGCAAACAATAGATATGTAAGTCAAAACTAGGCAACGGTAATAAGGCAAAAAATTCAAAGTAAAAATTGTGTTCACATGCAAAAGGGATACAGTTGAGTGGTTATAATGTTCTAACTTCAAGACGAGAAAGAAGAAAAATATGACAGATGAGACAAAGAATTTGTCCATTTTTATTGATTAGGAACACATGCCTGCATGCATCTGTAGTATTTGCTTATAAATTTGGAGGGGCATGTTCTTAGCAGTCATTCTGAGAGATTGAAACAAACATTGTTCTTGGCATTTTCTGATAGATTTTCATCTGTAAGCACCAACAACAAGTTTATTCACAGGGATACTGTTAATTTCTTTCAGAATTTCTGGGATGGGGAGTTATATATGGATAATTGTCCTCATCTTTGAAGTCATTATCACAGTGGCCAAAATGCCATGATAACTTCAAAGATGAGGACAATAATCCATATGTAAATAGTGTTACTTTAAATATGAATACAATGTTAGACTTCAGTTGAAGCTATAAATCAACTTGTAAAATAATTTTTATTGCCTGAATTGGCTCTTATAAAGTCTGTGTTTGAACGCAGATTTTGTAATTGACCTCTGGCACTCAACAAGGACAAACCTTGATTTTAGTTGGTAGACAAAGCACAAAAATTGCCTATCACTAGAATATATTGGCAAAGTAAGGGTTCATTTCCTTGTGAGACAATCATGGAAAGTGCATCATAATAACATTGAATTGATTTACTGATGCAGACCTTTCAAGCTCATTTTAACAGAATCCTTATATGTATATATATATCTGTGTGTGCGTGTGTGTATATATATATATATATATATGTAACACCCTTTTTAAATGAGAGGACTTCACAAAGTATGTTATTAAAAGGTAAGCAGCAGTCTGTATTGTCTGCTTGTAGGGCATTAACTGAATTACAGAAAATATGTTAATTTATATATAAATATCCATTCTAACTCAAATAAACTGGAAAAATGCCCTTTACTTTGGGACTTCTGTAAATGACTGGCATTTTTTCATAATATAGGAACATCTATCAGTATAGATGTTTTTTTGTTTAGGATATACTTATGTTTTTACCAAAAACATTCTAAATTTGAAATAACCTTTTACTTGTTATAAGCCTATCAAACAGAAGTGTTGAAAAGTTCATGGCCACAAACATACTTTTCTAAATCTGACCAAACTATTTTTAATTTTGTTTTTTTGTCATGGGGGAGGCCTTCACAGTTTGCATAAGAATATTCAATACACCTTGTATACTTGTTAGCTTTTCAAGAGTTTTGATTTATATCTGAGAAAGAAAACCTATTGTATAGTTATGATTAACTTTAGAAAGTTTGTCTGTTGGTGTTGAAGATGAAAAAAATAAACCCAGAACAATTGCTATAAATATTTTCCTGGTAATTGTTCTGAGCTTTCCTCTTTGTTATCTCAACTTCATGACTTCAAGGGCAATACTAGATTGGCAGACAGGTCTCTTAATTTCACTGTTGAAATTACTAGGTGTAACCGTAAATTCTATGCTAATAGTTTATTCTCCTGTAATTCTCGCCTGTGGAACTCCCTTCCAGTTCTTGCCTTCTTGTCTACTACAATCTTCAAAGATTTTAAATGCAATGTCAGTCATCATCTTCTGTCTCCTTGAATCCTGTCCTTCCATTGTCCTCTCTGTTTCTTTCCCTCTCAGTAACCCCTTGCAACCTAGTGGATTTTATTGCCTTGCTTGGGGTGAAATGATTAAAAAACAAACAAAAAAAAAAACCTGAAACTGAGGGTCAGAACTTGCATTTGATTTGAGAATTCCAGAAATTTAACTAAAAAGGGATGAAATATTTTTCAGCAGATGTTTCTCTATTGGCAAATGGCTTATAATCACATCACATTGAAACATTGGTTCCTGTGCAATCACCAAAGTTAATTGAAACTGATTAGTCCCTTGATGGGTGAGCCCTTTGGAATACCAGGTGCTGCAAGCTCGGATGTGTGGGTGGTGTAATGGATAACATCTCAGAATTGTTAATTGGAAAGCAAAGTTCCATTCCCTGCTGGTTTCATTATACTCACATGTGCAAATACCCTTGGGATAGGTATGAATCCCCATAGCTATGGGTTAATTAGTAATACGTGTATCATGAAACCATTATTATATAAATTAAAACCTATTAGATTACAATCTAAAATATTTTCTGGTCTTAAATAACCTGCAGAAAATGATCAATCTACTGGTGATTTTTTTTTTTTTTTTTACAAATATTAACTGATTAATTTACATATTTAAATGTAGATAATCAGATTCAGTTGATTTTGGGGGGTTTGTTTGTTTGTTTTCATAATGTACTGCAAAATTAACTTTTTCCTTGTCATCCTGGAATTATCACTAATTATAATAAATACTATTTTCATGGTTCAACCATATATAAATATTGCCATTTTTAAAAATATTTTATAGATATAAGAATATTTAGGTATTTTTTCAGAATAATTATAAAACTTAAAATTCTGAAGTAGTATTAGAAATTTTTGTTTAAGTTTTATTATTGTCTTAATTTGAATGAGTATGATGGCTTACTGGGAGGCACAATGGAGTAATGGATAGTTGCTTGGATTGAGGAATCGGAGAGCCGAGTTTTAATTCCATTTGAATCCATCATACTCACTTACGTGATAATACCCTTGAGAAAGGTATGAATCCTCTTCTTCTCCCCCCACTTATGAGTAAATAGCAGGACAGACTGGGTTATATAGCCTTGGATGACAACTGGTCTACCACAGAAAGAAATGGCAACCTACTGCGGGAAAATATCTTCTTCGTCAGTCATGTATCAAAAGATACATGGTTGCCTAAGCATGTATCACACATGGCATATAACTGACTCATGACAGGATATGAATAAAATTTAAATTTTAATAAATGTAGACCAGGATGAAAAAGGAAGTGTTAGCAGCTTTTTGTTTCTGTGAACCAGATTAGATATTAATGAATAGACAGTGGGTCAGATGATTATGATAAACAACTTGAAATATTGAAATTAAACATAGTTTGTTATATGAATGCTTTCAATAACACATGAAAATAATCAGTGGTGCTTAACAAAGGATAGTAATTAGAAGTTAAAGAATTCAGTTTAATGGTAGTTAATTTTTATCAAGGCTTCTTTTGAATCTCTTAAGAAGATAAAAAAAATGCTTTAAAATATAAAAATGAAGCACTGGTTGTTAATTACCATATATTTTGCTGTATGAGATGCACTTTTTGAAAATAAAACTTAGGAATAAATGAAAAATAAAAATAGAAAATGAAATATTAAAAATAAAAATAAAAAAATGAATAAATAAAATATTAGGAATAATTATTGCCACTTTTTTAAATATAAGAATATTTAAAAAATAAAGTTTTTCAAATTTATTTTAAATATAAAAAAGTTTCAGAATAATTATAAAACTTGAAAATTTGAAGCAGTACTAGAAATTTTAGTGTAAGTTATTTTTTTTTGTTTTAATTTGAACAAGGACTAAGGCATATGGATAAGATTTAAATGTTAATGTATATAAAGTAGGATAAAAAAGCATGATTAGATATTAATGAATAGACAGTGGGCCAGTAAAATATGGGAATTATATAGACTGTTATATCAACTCATTTGCAAGAAAATCATTTGTGCATAACTAAGAATGGTAAACAACACCCACTTCACCCAAGCTTTCTATTGACTGGCTAACAATTACTGCGCATTACATTTCAATGCCCAATGTCATTAATGTACACTGAAAACTAGGCAAGAGCCTGCTGCATGCTCACAAAGTAGCAAGATGAAAGACCAATGCCACATCAAGTAATGATAAGATGAACCCTATTTCTCATGTTATAAAACAGATTTTATTCTTTGCTTCACTGGGTAGGTAGGTAGTTGACACTAGGCAACTACTGTTATGTGGATCTCTTCCACCCTACCAATTCCTCACCATTTACTCATCCCAATGTGTGGATGGCATTGGAACCACACTACGGATGTGTCCCTCTCTGCCAAGAGCAAACCAGAAATGATTCTAGTTCCAAGCATAACTGTTAATATAGACTAGCATCCAGATTCACTCTATTTAGCTTTGTTGTCACTTGATATCCAAAACCCACTCATTT